GGGGAAAGAGTGAAGGCAAGAGGAGAAGGGGACAACAGAGGATAAGATGGTTGGACAGTGTCACTGAAGCTACCAACACAAATTTGAACAAACTCCGGGAGGCAGTGGAAGACAGGAGGGCCTGGCGTGCTCCGGTCCATGGGGTCACTAAGAGTCTGACATGAATTAACAACTAAACAACAACACACGAAATCTAGTTAAAGAGCCAAAATCAAAGTGTGGAGTTTGTTGACTGATTAAATACCTTTGAATCTGACTGAATCTATAGTGGGATTATAGTTACCTAACAAATAACAGAACAGATATGTCCAGAACAGCTTCTTTAAGATATAGAACACAATACAAAACAAAAGCTTCAAACTAGCTTTGAGCGTTGTATGGCACTACATATTCTTGCTTCTAAAAACAGTTGTCAGGTGCAGTACCACAGTGAAGCACAGAAGAGATAGATCGGAAGCAGAAAGCAGTCCCTATTCCTTCCGATTAAATACAATTCTGCATGGCACAGATTGCAGGGTTGTCTGTGGGATCTTCCTCACCTTAGCACCTGTTCCTATCTGAACACATCAGATGTGGAAAGGCAACAGAATATCAATTCCATATACAGTGATGCCCCGCTTGACGATTAACTCGTTAGACGAGGAAATTGCTTTACGATGAAGTTTTGCGATGTTTTAATAGGGGGGAAACCGCTTTACGACGATTGGTTCCCTGCTTCATGAACTGAGTTTTCGCTTAACGACGATCTTTACAGCTGATCGTCGGGTCTTCAAAATGGCCACACGCTGTGTAAAATGGCTCCCCACTGTGTTTTAGGACGGATTCCTTGCATTACAGGCACCGGAAAATGGCCGCCCTATGGAGGTTGAACCGGTTTTCAATGCATTTCAATGGGATTTTTACTTTCGCTTGACGACAATTTCGTTCTACAGTGATTTTGCTGGAATGGATTATCCTCATCAAGGGAGGCACCACTTTATTGTACTGAAAACATGATTGAGCAATGTAGAAGATCTTCTTGTGGTATAAGATTGGTAGCGGCTCTTTCTCCAAGGAAAGGAACAGCATCTGCTATCTACCCCTTGGTCTGAATTGACAATAGCCTGAGAACAAACCATCTTCACTTCTTTCTACTACTGTAATGTTAATGCCTTACAGTAGCAAATACTGCCTTGGAAATTGCTTAAGGTGGAAACAGCACCCTGAGACAGGGATGGCTGGATCTTTTCTTTCTAGAAGGTTCAGTGAAGTAAGAAACAAGAGAATAGATTGGGTAATTGCACTGGAAGATCTAATCTGGAGTGGGAAATGTGTGACCATTCAGATGTTCTTGGACTGCCTTCATATCATCGCCCAGCACAGGGTCGGCTGGCTAGGGCTGGTGAGAGTTGGTCCAACACTGAGAGGCCACATATTCCCCTACCCAAATCTAAGGGTCATGTTATTCACAGAGAAGTTCATGTGGAAGTAGATCAAGATGTAATTGTGTGGGTTTAAAAAGTGCAGCATACACGAAGCAGTTTTTAAAAAGTATTCCAATACTCAAGTTACAATGGGTCACACTTCTTTGTAACTTCAAAATATAAGCAAGCGAAAGAGTTAGTGTAAGCTTTGTGCAGTTAGATTTGTTTTCTTGCATTCTTTTGAAACACAGAAATACAATGGGAGTGTATATGTTTTTCTTTCAAATTCATTATAATTTTCATAATTCAAACCTAAACACTATACAGTATTAAGTCCAGCTCAAGTGAAAAACAGAAAAAATATTGCTTCACTTTTCCAACAAACCAACATACAATGCCAAGAATCAACACTTCATTCTTTTAATGTTAGGTCACTGACAACTGTTACGTTCTAAAGGCATGAAAACATGCTTAAACCTGTGGGGCTCAGTTGGTCACTTGCCAAGTCTCAATTTTTAGTTAAATCTATACAGAGGTCCTTCCCTTTTATAAGCATTTCCCCCCTCACTTTTCAATTTCCAATTAAAATTAAAATTCTGATCATATCCAATAACAAAATGTGACTTCATTATACACTAAATTTAATTAATATGTAATCCAAAGATGGAAGGACACCTGCACTTAATATTATACCGTCAGAAAATGCACAGTGTTGTACTGGATGACTTCCAGCAAAAGCTGCTTTGCACAGAATTTTTTGTTTTTGTTTGGAATTGACTTCCCAGCCTTTACACTTGTGACAAATGGACTGGCAAACTTGAATTATACACTAATTTTGTGCATGATTTTCACACATAAGATTTTTTTTAAAGGAGCAATAAAACGGCTATCTGTCAAATAATGTAAAAAATAATTATTGCAACAGGAATCCCAATTCAGTGGGCAAAGGCCAGCCTCCTACAGAGTGCACTTGCTCAGTCCAAGAATTCACAAGCAAAATGAAGTTGAGTCTGTTCCTAGAACACTAGTGACATTAAGTCTGTTATTTTAAAGGAAGATGCCTTAGTATGACTATGAACTTGTGCCTAAAATCTCACCAGAAAAATTGCTTATGTATACTTTGTAGGGAAAGGGAACAAGAGTCTTGAATGCAGAGAAGAGGAGTGGAAATGAAAATGTGGATGGACAGAGGAAAACTAGCTAAAAGACCACAAAGAATTTCAAAAAGTCAGACCAGGGGCTAACAAGCTAACACGAGACATCAACAGATACTTGCTGAAGTACACTTCTCCTTTGAATTGCATGGGTCTGAGCAGTGCAGTTTTGGTTATCCACGGATTTTTTTCAATAAGAAATCAGTATTTTAACAAATAAATAAAAGATATTTAATAAATATTTGATATTCTCGAAGGCTGTCACGGCCAAGATCCAATGGTTGTTGTAGGCTGACGATGCCAGCCATAGACACTGTCAAACGTTAGGGTTTGTAGTTTATTTGCCCTGAAAATAAGATCTAACCTGAAAATAAGCCCTAGTATGAAACCCCACCCTCCACTGTTGTGTAGCAACCAGAAGATGACAGCAAAAATGAATATAAGACCCTGACTTATTTTCGGGGAAACACAGTAGTTACGTTTTTGAGAGCTTAAGAGTTATACATGGATTTTAAACTACACAAGGGTTAAGCACCCCTAACCCCAGCATTGCTGAAGGGAAAAGTATGCAGTATGTACTAGTGGACTGAACGATTTGGGACAGAAAGATCAGAGACAAATGCCCAGATCTGAAGCACCCTCTATTTTACATGTTTTAAATGAGTAATTTTTCTAACGAGCCCCATTCTGCAGTAACGAACTAGAACAAAGCTAACTCCTTGTCTAGAATGGCCAAGACTGTAATTCACTACTTTTCAGGAGAACAAGGATGGGACAACTGTCTGTTACTCATAATTCATGGGTCTGACAAGAGGGAATGACAGCCAGCAACTGGACAATTAACAGCAAATACAGATCTCAAAGACAAAGAGAAGGAGGAAGGAAGTAATTTGATATAGGGAGAGACTAAGAGTGAGTGAGTGGGAGAAGAGGCCGGTGCCAGATTTGCAAATGAAATGGAACTCTTGCTTGTGTCTGGAAGCTACTTCCATCTGCAAGCCCCTCCAACATGTTCCCAGTGTTTTCCTAGTGGAAAGACCTTGTCAGTTTCTGCATTTGCTTCTTGTCCCTCCCCATGGCCTGCCTTTACCCACCCCCCTCTTTTCTATTTCTCAAACTCTACTCCAAAGCAAATCACATAAAGACAAAACCTAACCTTTAATCCCTAAACCTCCAGGCTTAGGGTGTGGCTTGCTATTTAAGACAACAGTTAGTTCTGTCATAAACACTGAGAAGAGTCACACTCATACAGAAAATGAGTGGGACTTATTTCTGCATAGACATAGGAAAATGGAAGACACTCGGGTACGCAAAATTGTGTAAATTCAGTGTAGGCACACTGCTCACCTAGCAATACCTTCCTGCCAAGTTTGATGTTTGCAAAGTCACACAGATTAGTTATACATTTTTTGCTTCACTAATGCAATTTAAAGACTGCCTACCCTGTGGCCCATGTCTTTTCTATGTAAAAATGTTTGACATGCTGACTCTTGCTATTAAATGGAAGTAGACGTTCCTTCCCCACCTCAGGCAACAGACTTTTAGATATCGTAAAAAGGCAGCATTTAAAAAAAAAAAAACTTAATTTGCTCATGTTATTAATATAATACTTGTAGTTTTAACAACTGGTAATGGGGAGAGTTCTTGAGAATTTTTCTTGAGGAACTAGAGAGTATTTTCTAGCATTTCTGGAAGATACCAGAGGTAACACATTCACAAACAACTCAATGGATTATTTCCCAAAGTGGTGGCAACACTAACAACGGCCTGAGGCCCAAGCAAAATAATGAATACACAACAAACTCCTTTTCAAAAGTAATCTTCTAAGCTCTGCTCTACAAAGGAATCAAGTATTCTACTTATGTGTATGACCTGAGAGATCAAATTCTGACAATACTGTACATTTTTCTGAACTGTTAACGAACATTTCTAAACTAAAAACAGATTTCAACTTAGAAAACTTCCAAGATTAGTCCATCAACACAAAGGAAGGCTTCATGTAAACATCAAAGAAATACTTCCTCCTCTTAGATAATGTGTGTTAGGTGAAATAGTTAAAGTGGATATTTATAGATCCACATAGAACCACTTTCTGCAATGTATTTTAAGCAAAATTGTTCGAGATCCACTTAGGGGGAGGAAAGAAGGGTTAGGTCCCAACCAAAAGCTTGTTGAGCTGACAGCTTGAATGCCTTATCATTCTTAATTTAAGTGAGACACCTTGATTTATGTAACAGATTTAAGTACTTCAGCATGAGCTCTTCTACTACAGAACTGCATATACTGTACTTCTTTATGAAGCATGTTTGATACCAAGAACAAAAAAGAGTTTGGTTCACTGCCACTTGCGGTATAATCTCCAGTTACATTTGCAGGGAAGTAAAACAAAGAGGATATAAATTGTGTATCAATTCAGACACTACAGAAAATGGAACCTACTTACCGCATACAGGCCACGTGCTGCTGCACAGGCTGATGCTGAAAATGTTCGGGCCACTGATGATGTGGACAGAACGAGGGTGAGGACTGAAGGCAGCAGGCAGTTTGATACAAGGGTGCATGTTTTTGGCAAGCAGAGGCAGAATATTCAGTATGAGGTTTTGGGCAGCAGGCAGTCAATGCAGATGATGCTGCACTGCCAGCCAGGGAAAGACATTCTTGATTACTGTGATGATTCAGGGGATGATGATACGGGCAAGGATGACAACACTGCGACAAAACATGTGGAGTTCTTTGGTCATCTACTGGCAGGAATGGCACTTTCAGCATGCCGTTAAGCTGAAGGCACCCATTTATACTTGTTTTTCTTCTCTCTGTTTCCTTAGATGAGGAGTTTGGGGCTGCAACAGGGCCATCGTTGGTTGTGACAAGATCAGAACTTGTTCCCTTGACTGGAATGCTGCCATTGCTCAGACTTGTAAAGTCCTTGTTTCCATTGTTGGTAGCCATGCTCCCAAATTCTGTGAATATGCAATTCTCCTAGGAGAGTATAGGATAAAGAAGAGAAAATTAAAAATGGAAAAGACAAACTCACAGTTTTGTCTCAAGATTTGATGCAATCCATGAAAACAAACCCAGGCAGCTAATATTTTGTTCTGACACATTACATTCCAGTCTTTGTCCAGTTTTACACTGTTGAACCTTGCCCACCACTCTGTCATTAGACACTGCGCCACAGATTAACAATTATGCAAAGTATATCAAATAAAAAACTAAAAGTTAGTCTTTCCAAATCCTTTTCAGAAGGAGATTTTGCGAAAACCATTGAGCTCAAATCTCAGTGGCCTTTGTGCTTCCCAGGCAAGCCCATGACAGTGTTACCAAAATTCACACAAATTACAGAAAGAGCATTGTGGCTTCAAGTTGAACATCTGGAGTGACCTTCACTAACTGCTACTATAGCTCTACACTAAACTCTCTCTACCTGAATCAGCAGCTGTGGTTACAAAGAATATGCTATTTTTTTTTTTTTTGGAATTGCAGCCAAAGGGAATGCTGTAGATTGGGTAATGGTTGCCTGTGGCTAGTAGAGGAGATCTGAATCATAAGGAAAATGTAGGCTACTAGAGCAACGTAAGAGGAACAGTTGATCACATGCATGCTCGAGGATTATGGGGAACAAGCAGCAGCATGCAGGATTAAAGTTTGCATTGACAGAGATAGCATACAAACCTAGGGTGGATTGAGGGTGGAACTGGCAGGGAGAGGCAGGGATGGTTTTGGCATAAAACATATGGAGGGATGGCATGTAGCGATTGGATCTCAAGTTTAAACTTCCAAGTTAATCACAAGCACTCTCTTCCATTGAAGCCTATATCTGCCTCCCAAAAAAGATGTCTGCGTGGCTCTAGGGCATATGCTGAAAGTGGAGTTCTCCCACCTTTCTGACTTTGATACCCCTGACTTAGAGGATGGAAGAGCAATCCTGTCAGCTGAGGAAACCTCACCTCCAAGCAGCAGGAATCATGAAAGAAATGAGGTTGAACATTTCAAGAAAAAAATGGCTATTCCATCTGGGAATTTCTAGTGAATCTGTAGGTCTCCTGTTTTCAAAAGCCCTCAAATGGCCTCTAAATCCTTTTCTATTTACAAGCTCCATGTCTGGAACACAGCAGTGATACTGGTGGGGCCATTTTCATTTAGTCATATTAGACTAATTTTTGGTTTTAAAAATAAAGGGAGGTACAGACAGACACCACTGCCTCTGTTGAACAAACTCTTTGGATGAACAGATTTGGCCCCCTCTCAACTGAGTCTAGGACTGTAACCCACTTAGCGCACACACCATATTTGCATAGCCCTGACTTGTGTCTGATTTCTGTTTTTATCTTAAAGCTAGAGCTGATGGGAGTTGAAGTTGCTTTGTGAGCCATCACATGCTGACAAATTATGAAGAAAAACATTTAGTAAATAAGTACAGTGGTGCCTTGCTTAGCGATCGCTCCGTTGAGCGATGAAATCGCTTAGCGATGGGGTTTTGGCCATTGCCAGAGCGATCGCTTAGCGATAGCGCCTATGGGGAAAAATCGCTTTGCGATGATCGCGAGGAAGCGATCATGGCAAAGCGACCCTTATTGCACAGCTGATCGGCGGTTCCAAAATGGCCGCCGGAAAAACAAAATGGCCCCCCGCTGTTTTGCCTCACTTTAGAGGCACCAAAAATGGCCGCCCCTATGGAGGATCTTCGCATAAGGTCAGTTTTTAAGCCCATAGGAACGCATTAAACACGTTTTAATGTGTTTCTATGGGCTTTTAAAAATCGCTTAGCAACAAGCAGCTGAATTAAACTGCGTGTGATTAAATCACTTAGCAACATTTTTCCTGGAACGGATTAATGTTGCTAAGCGAGGCACCACTGTAATGCATTTACTAAATGAATAATACCTCCAAGATCTAGACCACATCTAGATCTATTCCCAACCTAAGGGTCGTGACCCAAAAGGAGTTGCAAAATCTTTCCTGGGGGGTTGCAATCACCTTATATGCATTAAATATCTTCCTTGACATTTTGGAGCCAGGTATTAAAGTCAGTGTGTATGTACATATGAGAAACAGGCCGTTCAGGGGATAAAGAAGCCTGTGCTTTTCAAGAAGGGATGCCATTAAAAATGCCTCCTTATGCACATGTGTCAAGGAGATAATAGGTCACTTGGCTGATATAAAATGGGGTCATGACTCGAAAAAGGTTGGGAACCGCTGCTCTGGAGCAAAAGCATTACTGCTTCAACATGTTGGAATACAGATCAAGATACCAAAGCTTGGTGTTTGTCAATGCGTTGTCAGCGTTCAGTTGGCTGAAGTTTTGGCATTACAAGGGGGTTTTCAGAATTAGTTTTCTCTTCCTTCTCTGCTAGGGAACTGGCAATGTTCGGACAGCCAAGCTACTTAATTGGCTCATGACTAACATTGAGCAGAAGGTGCTTTGCACAATGGAATGCTGCCCATAGCAACCCCAGGGTGTTGCTTCTCAGAGTCATTTCACTTTGGAATCCTCAGTGCCTACAGCTTGTGGGGGACCGGGCAGGAAAGAGTCCTGGATAATGTAACTTAACACTTATTTCTTGTATATTATGCTCAGACACCTTGAAAAACTAATACAAAACTGAAACTAGTCATAACATGACAACATCTCCTAAGCAGGTATATTTTGCTCCAGCATCTGTCTCCACACATTCTTGTTTAATATACTTACCTGACCCTCTGTGCCCCCACACAAGCAGATTTTTTTTAAATCTTGAAGCTGCACACAAAATATCTGAGTTGATATTTATGTCCTTTGAGATCCAGTAGAGTTGCTAAAAGGACATAAACATCAACTCAGATGTTTTGTGTGCAGCTTCAAGGTTTTTTTTTTTTTAAAATCTGCTTTTAAAAAACAGCTGAGTTGATATTTATGTCCTTTAGAGATTCAGTAGAGTTGCTAATTTGACCAAACTCCAGGAGGCAATGGAAGACAGGAGGGCCTGGCGTGCTCTGGTCTTTGGGGTCACGAAGAATTGGGCACGACTTAAGGACTAAACAACAACAAGAGATGCTAAACAGCTTTCCTATGTACTCTACAGCAGCTTTGGAGTCATTTCTAAAAGTAGGCATACATTCCTTCTTCTTCAAGAAGCATAGAAATGCAGCTCTTTTTGTGCATTAGATTAAAGGAACATGTTGATATGGAAATAACCTATTTCTTATGGACATGCAGGCACCCAATGCATATAAGCAATTTGCTCCATGTATTCTAAATTATTACAGAAAACAACTGATATGGACATTCATTCATCAGGGCAATGAGTTAATGACATGAATTCACCAGGGTAATCAGCTAATGCTGGGATTCAAATATGAAATGTTCTCATTGTTACAGACTGCAAAGATGTTTGCCGATCCTACAAATTAATGACCTCCAAGTGACCTATCATTAACAGCCTTGCTCAGGTCTTCCAAACTAAAGGTACGAGCTTCCCTTCTAGAATCAATCCATTTTATGTCTGGACTTTCCTCGTTTGTAACTGTTGTCTGGAATCCTGTTGAGACATTATATCAGTGTAAATACACTGACATAAATGAAATTGCTGCTAAGAAGTCGGTGTAAGCATCTGGTGTCACACAAGTCACATCACTGTTGTACAAAACTGAATGTCCAAGCTAACTTCTTAACTAGCTGCAATTCAGCATTGGGATTTAAACTAATATTTATGTTAGAAGATGTGAGAAATAGGATTGGGGTCATTGTCTTTTCTAATGAGTGTAATAGTCTTTCTTTTGTCATTTAGGTTTCTAGAGAGAATTCAGGATTGATCTAGAACAGGGGTGTCCAACCTTTCACCTTCCCTGGGCCACATTAGAAGATGAAAATTTGGTTTGGGCCGCACATACATTCGGTTTGGGCCGCATGGGGGGGGCAGCCCTAGCCATCCTCCACAGCCCCGCTCCAAGCGCGTTTTCCGGCAGCTGCCCTCTCAGACAGCAGAGGCTGCCAGCTTCGACTCCAGCGGCTTTATGGGGCCAGGAGGGGGTCCACCTATTGACGGGGACAGCGCAATGCAGTCACGCAACCCCCGTGTCCCCTCCCCTCCCACTCCTTCCTTCCTTCCCTCTCTTCCCCTCTACTGTTGTGACATGCCCTGGCCACATTCTGGCCGCAAGCGCCGGCAGTGTAACTTGAAACTTTGGAATTTCTTTAAAAATAAAAAATTGCACTGGGCCACATTACGAACTGACCTGGGCCGCATGTGGCCCTCAGGCAACAGGTTGGACAAGCCTGATCTAGAATGTATTTACTGTATTAGCCTTTCTGGTTTTCCTCCAACATCATGTTTCATACAAATCCATTTTCACTGTCCGTCTTTCAAATCTCAACATCATAAATGAGAATATCAGCCTATAGATGACCTTGGGCTTTATCACTAGCAATACATCTTTACACTTTACGATCTTGTCTAGATCCTTCATAACTGCCTTTACAAGTCTCAGTCTTGTCCTGATTTGTTGGCTGCTGTCTCAGTTCTAACTGATGACTGAACTGAGGCACAGATTTCTTCATAGTTAACATTACAGTTTTGTAATTATTCTGTACTCATTTTTATCTTCTAAACGTTGAACTATATTTTTTTTTGCATTTTCTTTTTTAACCTTGTTGAGAAAATCTGAAGACTACTGATCCCCTGTCCTTTCCAACAACATATCTCTTTGTTAAGCCTTATTAACTTCAGAAAATCTGGAATAGCACATTCTAAAAGAATTGCCTCCTAAAGCATAAAGCACTGTAGCTTTGGGAAAATGTTTCCTCCACCTACACAAAGAGATAAAGGTCATGAGCAAGGACATGGGAAACTCCCAACCTAGAGCTGGAGCCTAAAGACCAGCAAAAGGAAGTAATAATCTATTCCAAGATAAGAACCGTGGTAGCATTCCAATATACTACATCAAATGCAACAGGTGACCATATTTACCTTTGTCTTTGTTAAAGGCTACCATTGTCTGAA